CATTGTCAAATCTCACAATGCCCAGCGATATTTCAGCAGCCGTCATGTTTATTTATATTGGATATTGTAGTTCCGGTCAGTGTTGTATTAATACGCTAAGAATTATGTCTCGTGATGCATGGTAATTAAAGTCCCATCAACGACACAGCTTTCAAAGAGGCTATATAGTGACAATGCCATGCAAATGTAAATTTTATATATATACATATCAATCTAACCAAGCATGTTACTCTTTCAACTTATAAGTTACATAATTAGCTGATCGGCGGCACAGTCAGCCTGTCGAGGTTTTAAAGGTTAATTACGCCCTTACTCGTCGGTGGTCAACATAATAATCATCCGGTAGCGTACCTGGTACACACACTCAACACATAGGGAAAACGAAACTTTTATAACCTCATGAACCTCTATAATCCTGTACCTAACACATCTACAACATACATGACATCTACCACTTTGGTATTATGTAAATATATAGATAACTAAAGGCAAAATGTCACAGTTGTAAAATTAAATCATATATCCAATATTCATACAGCAAGCTAACATATTATAATCTGTTTTCAAATGTAAATATTTTTACACACAAAACTTAAAATTTAAATTTTCACAAATATCCAACAATATTCAAAACCTCCTCTGATAAGCTATACCATATATTAAACATTATTTATTTTGCAGGAAATGGCAAATGTAACACTGGAACAACGTAAGTAAAATATATAATGTTGAAAATATATGGTATTTCTCTTACTTGAAAGACAATGACATAAAAAGAAAAACTTTGATCACATTTTCAAGGATGCTGTTTGTTGTGCTCTGTGCTTGCGCTCGATTCTAAAGCACGTCAAAAACGAAAATAATAGATAACAGCATAACACAAAAAATGGCAATGTAAGACCAACTTTCTTTATTTAAATTTCCCCCCCTTGTTTTATTTTTGTTCATTATTCATTGATTAAAAAATTACATATTTGAATAAATGGAGGCCAAGTTCCATAAATACAACTAGATTCTGTTTTGACATATTGAGACCATAATGCTAAATGCATCTACATTTTTCAACCCTTTTGTTATCAACTATTTTAGTTATCAAAGTATATAATTGTAATTTTAATCTATTATTGTGATCTGATGTGAAGTTATACTTTATTACGTCTTTGCATTTATTCCTTTGTGTATTATCAACAAAACGAATGGGGAAACAAAAACCAGTAAAACTCTAATATATAAGAGCATTCTTGCGCCAAAGAAAATCTTTCTTCATGAAACAACCGATTGAACTAAAACTCTATACCATCGATAGCAAAACGTGTACAAATGTACCTGCATGTTTAAGAATAAAATCTCTGTAAATAACCCATATCGTCAACTTTGGAACCAATCCAACTACGCATATTTATTAAATTCTCTGACGTGCCTTCCATAAGTTTTACATAAATCGATATGCGACACGTAGAGGTGAGGTTATTTACTTTCAGTCAACATAGTAAGCAATGCAAATAATTATTTAACTGTTATGAAACTCATAATTACATAACAGTATGTTCTTTATGTTGTTGTTTGTTACCCGCACAAAGGTATGACCTTGGAGACAACTTGTCTAGTAATCTTATCTTACAGTAATTATACCTTGTTATGAGAAGTTCTTTTTACACAACCAATAAAATTTTCTATGTGACGTTTCTATGACTTGTACGATATGTACACTGTCACCTTCTTCAGACAAATGACCAGTGAAGCATATGCACACAAAGGTGTAAAATGTGTACGAATTGTCCATAAAATCGATGTCGATTTCAGCTACGCTGGAAACGTATGTACAATAGTTAAAACAGCGTAGCTGACTTGAGTCATTTCGGTACATATATAACAACTATTGTGCATACGTTTCCAGCGTAACAGTTTAGTGATGGGACTTGCAATATAATTTTGCAAAGCAAAATGTTGTCCACAAGAGTCCTTTTTCATACACATCTAATTCCATACTAATGTTTTAAAGCTTATCAAATATTAGTTATTAAATCAGAATTTATATACCTCATAACTTTTAGAAAAAATATATTTTTGAGGATGATAAGTAAAACATTTAAAGAAAATCAAACAATATAATGTCAACAGTTTGGAATCGCACAATAGATTAATTGGAATCGATTAGATTTCGATCAATAATCGGAACAACACGAGTCGTCACGTGTATATTCACTGTACTGATTGATACATTAGTTCACACAGGATTCCTACATACGTGTACTTAAGACGGTTCTATCAGCGATAAGGAAAAAAACCGCTGTCATTATTGCATATATATGATTTCTTATCATAGAATATCATTAGCTATGGCCTTTAAGTCGTACTCACCAGTATTTTTTTTATTGAAGATTAATGGATAAAAGTAAGCTGATTAGTAAACGACCGGATTCCTAATACGAGTAATTTAGCATGGTTAAAGCATCTAGTGGAACAATTGCAATAATGTGCACGTGTTAGTATGAACTAAGGTAATGCTATAAATTGGTTCAATTCATAATTGTATCACATAAATTATACTTGTGACAATTATTTCGCATGCAGAACCGCCGCCGGGAAAGATTATTAGCGAGACCCTATCAAAGAAATTCCCTACAGGATTTATTCAACAAACTGCACAAACCGTACACGCTATGAGGCACAAACCGATATCAGCAGGGTCATCACGTAGGACTGATCAAGTCCTAGGCGAAGTAAGTAGCCAAACTATGTTTTCTTTTACAACGTTATGATTTTCCACCACTCATAGAAAATAGTTAAAAAGCGTGATGCACAGTCATTGTTCGGATACTCTCAAGAGCGCCACCGTTACGCTAATAGAAAACATGAGCTGATGATGCTTTTTAACTTTTGATATTACATGCGCTAATATAAAGCAGTTGATTTTTGAATGATTTATCTTAATCATTTATTAAGTAGTCGTGATGGTTATACCATTGGAATATGGTTTGGAGATTTCGTGTTATTCACTGCATATCGCATTATTACATGCAGAATGGGAAGCACCAACTGCGTAGAGAAAACACGTATCCAGGCACTGGCAAAACACCAAACATTACAAAAGTCAATACAGATCCGGATATTCGGGTATTTCGTCTAATTTGCAAAGTGGAAAGCTTTCCACTCTTACAGCGAAACTTGCAATTCGCTAGGGACATTCAGAAAAGGTGTCAAAATATAGTTGATAACGTTGATGGGATCCATGTTCCGAAGTACCCAAGACTCCTTGATCAACAAGAACTGACGTTATATATAGCTACGGGCAGTGATGTGGATGATATTTCACAAAAGATATCTACCATAATGGGTGACCATGATTACAGTGAAAAAATGGATGTTACAGGTAATAATGTTAACAATAATACCTTTAGCATACCGGACATACCGACCCCAAAGCCGATTCAAATTATGTTTCTGTAAATATAATTTCTGTTTTCGTACAAAAATGTGGCATTCATATACTAATATACATGCATCACTAATAACCTTTGCCTTATAAGATGTCTACACGGCTATGCCGTACACTTCAATCATGTATTCAACGAGTTGATATGATAAACACACCGACCGTACAGCCGCACGCTGAACAACGTCTCACGTTATCTGACCCCGTAACTTCAGTATCAATGCTAAAATAGCATTTACAATTGAGCCTTTCAGCAAAACATGATCTTTGAAATTTTGGCTTAATTTTTCTGCCCCACACTGCCCCACTCCAATGGTTTTGTAGAAAAAATGTAACAAAATAAGTTGATCGAATATATGTCACTTTTTTTGAAAATGTAAACAATAAAAGCTTCATGAGTAAAACTTGAAACCAGTGCAAATGTTATCTCTATTTTCCGCAATGGTTGCAGTTCCTGCTGAAGAGTATGACATAAGAAACCTGCAATATAAAATGATCTTGAAGTTGGGTCATACAATTAATAGATATAAATTACGTATTTTTTCAGAGAAATGTTTCAAAGGAGACAGTAAAATTGTGACACCTGATCAAGACTGTTCGTGTCTGATTCTCTTTCTACACAAAGATCAGACGAACAATTATGTAAGTAGTTTGATAAAAGCTTGAACACGTGAACATATCATTTCGGTTTATCTCTTGAAGCTATGGTATAGAGATTTCCATTTTACTTTTAAATATCCGAAATAATGACATATGACCAAAAAATAATAAACAAATGAAAATTATTAACTTATTTTGATATAACTGTAAGATGTTTATATGTACAGTTATAGTTATGAGTGCGAATACACTTTTGCATATTCATGTTATAACTGAATAAATATTACCCTCACTTTTGTACTCTAGCATAGTCAGATGAGGATAAACATCAAAGGAAACAAATCATTGGTATGCACCGACTATATTACTGTCAAATGCACAACATAAAACTAATCTCTTTGATCCCCAAACAGTCCAACAAATTAAATTTAACATTTATTTATACATCATAAATTAACTAGTCATTTTAATTTACTGGGCAGATACTTGAATCATCGAAAGTGTTGCATGTTCCGAGTCCACCTGCTGTTGCGATATCCGGACAAAGCCAATCAGTAAAAGATTTCAGTGAAGAAACAAAAGACCAGCCGTGCATTCGACGAAAACTTACCCATATTCTAGGCGAAGACCTGTTCACCTATGCAAAAGAAGTGCAGCAAAGCCTTGATAAATATGAGGACATAATCAAGTCTCCAAACCCTGACCAAATAACCATGCTGCGGAACACCAAGGAAGCTGTGACTGTATTGCTTACCCGAAGAGTGCTTCCGGACTGTGAAACATCAGCAGCTGGTGGCTCTACTAAATGTGAAATTCCAGATGATATAGATTCAGCACTGAATGCGTGAGGGTGTTTTTTTGGCTTAAAACATTATTCTTACTGCAATATAACTTTTGGTAAAAAAATATTCCCTAAAGATTTTTCTTATATTTTAATTCATTACCATCAACAGAAAGGGAGTTGTCGGTTACAAATAAAATGAAGCCATCGTTGTCGTGAAGAAAAGTGCAGGTTTACCAACAACAACGGTCGCAAAAGTGAAAATAATCCCTCTTTTAACAAATACGAATCCGTTACATAGTTCAAGATAGCACATACCAGATTAAGGTTAGGTATTTCATGACTGAATGTATGCTATGTTTACATGAATGCGTCTTCAATATTCTTTCTGCTACATTTTCAGAATGGAAAACTGCGGCGTAATGGCATTTGGATTGTTTGCGGACAACTTTATAGTCTTTATCGACGAAAAGTGCAGTGACCAAGTACAAAAACAGACCACCCAAGAGATAACAAACCTTTGCAGCGATCGATACGACTTCAAAATACCTTTAAGAGTGATACATGTTTCACAAGACTTCTTGACAGACACGGGTTTGGAGCAAGGCCATGCATTCCAAACTGGATCTAACTCTGGCTCTATCGGAATGGTAACAAACGCAACTGTACACCCGGTCGCCACAGAGACAATCACAGAAGCAGATGGATCGACACATTCAGAACAGGGAATTCCTAAACACATCGTCGTGGCAATTACCGCAGGTCATATTTTTGCAAAAAGCGATGACGCATGTTTCGTCAGAAAAGATGAACAAACTGTGAAATTCGGAAAATGCCTCGCAAAACAGTATCGCAAGGGAAATATTTCAGCAAAGCAATTTGACATCGCCTTGATAGAACTCGACGAGAACATGACAACCATCGACGTTTGCTCTCAAAAATTCAGAAATGATACTGGTGAATCATGTGACGGTGTTTTGTTTAAAGGCTCTCTTGCATCTGGTACTGTTATGTACAAAAAAGGTGCTACAACCAAAATGACGGCAGGAGTTGTTGTCAGCCAAGATTTTCGAAAAGTTGGACCTGTCGATACGCAGAAAGGCTACTTGATCAAAGGGCGCGATGGTAGTGAATTCGCTAAACGCGGAGATAGTGGTTCCATTGTATTTACGTTAGACATCAATGACGAAGAAAATAGAACTGTCAATCTAATATCGATTGTATCGCAAATATTGACAGAGGAGTTTACTAAAAAAATTGAGGATCCCGGAAAATTCACTTACAGCGTCCGCCTTGACAAGTGTCTTGAAATCCTACCTAATGTGACCGTGCAAATGCCTAAAAAGTAATTTTGTTTACTACCCCATACGTACAACTGTATATATTTACATCATTATTACTTGTGATTTGGTCATGTTTTTTCAGTTATCTGTGATAATTCCTTATGTATTTTGGATCTCATCATAATTTTAGAACTAGTTTTCCTTATTGTTCCTTATATTTCCGTAATGTCAATGCAGTATTTCTTGAACTATTCCGAGTTATTTAAATTCGTATATGACGCCTGATATGTTTGCTTTGTTTTGGGGTTACTGCTACCACCTTAAATACATATCTGTGTATCCTACTACTTTAACAATAGTATTAGCATGATATATTATTTGATATTTTCAATTATTTAAAGCGTGTTCCAAGGTACATGTATACATACTGTGTCTAATTCTCTTTTGGAAACCTCACCATTGTTTTCTGCTTTACTGATGTTTACTGAGTGCCAAAAAGAAAACAAATTCAATTAGTAGATTTGTTTATTTTTCTTTTGATTTTCGCACCCGTTCGTTACTTTGATTTATCATTTTACTTGTTAAAATATCTATTTGGTGGTTATATTTTTAAATGAAGTATGCATTGTCTGAGATTTTGAATTTTTAGTTGGAAAATAATTTTGTAGCGTGATAATTAAACTTCCTACTACTAACCATTTTTGTTTGCAACCTAATTTGTTTCGATAAACAATATGTACAAATTGGTAAATATATGCTTGTGAATAGGTCGTATGTATTGAGTATTTTCTTTTGCTTATTCATCGCGTATTTTGGATCTTAATCGTGATTAAACAATTGTTTCCAATACATTACCGTATACCAATGCAGTATTCCGAGTTATTTAACATCGTTTATGACGAGTTGCTGCTTCAACCTTCAGATATGATAAGATTTTCTTGAGAATAAAAGAAAACCTTCAATGAATAATTTATTAATCGATCGTTACTCAGAAATAGTTGCGAGTTATTTTGAAACGAATTGTGTTTTGTTTGAATATGTTGTGCTGATGTAGTACAGTAAAGCCTGGGATATTTTTATCTTAATCTTTATTTTTATTAAACAAATTATTGCCTTTATCATATGAAATATCGGTACAAAAGCATACACTATTATCGTTCATTCAACATCTTAAAAATAAGTTCGTACTTATTATTCTTATCAAGATATGAAGTAAGAACATTACATGACATTTCATTAAAATGAGATTCTAGATCGAGGAATATAAAATAAAAAGCATATTTTTTTTTATTTTTTTTAGCAAATAAATTGTGACCTTCATTGCGATGGCGTAAACGGTAGAATGAACAAGTGTGGCAACTATGATTAACGAGCTCGATGAAGAAAACGTTATAATAAACTCAGAAAATACACAGCGAACAACTATTAAATTATTTAATCTTGATTATAATCCTCGTTGTATTCGCGCATTTACATACTGCTTACGGTCGAAAAGTAAGGAACGAAGCCAACATCGTTTACTTTAAAGACATGGAAATTTGCAAGTGCATCTATTGAATACGAGGTTTATCATCATTCCACTGTTGCGTAATTAGACGAGATTTGATCCAAGAAGTGTTATCTGTTCCAAGGTGTTGAAATTACGAACCATAGTTGTCACCAGAATATTATGTATCGCTGAACCGTAGAGACATATATCTAGCCATGCGCCGTATTTCAAACAGGTATCAATTCGCCGAACCTTCTTTCACTGCGTATATACGATAATGTATACGAAGTCACAGTTTGATAAGCTAGAGATGAAAGTATGTAAATATATACATTAGGCAGGTTGATAGTGTTGCATAAATGACTTATTTTTATTCAATTTTTATCTCGTATATATTTGTTTTTTTAATTCATTATTTTGTATCGCAATGAACGTATAATCTTCCGTATATAATATGATTTTCAGAGAAAGAATATTTTTTATATTTTTTTATTTCTTTGTTTATATACCGTGGGACGCATACTGATATATTTTTATTAAAATTGTATACTCGTATTCAATAGTTTTATTTCATCTTACATCTTTATTTGTTATTTTAATATGAAGAGCTTTATTTTGAAGTGTTATCAATAACAAATATATATTGTAATACTTGATTGAATTATTCAATATCAAAATATTTATTTTTTTAAATTGTTTGAAAAATTTGAAAGATGTACTTTTTTAGATTTTACTTTATTTTGTAATTTATAATGTACTGTTTTTGCAAAATCGATATTAAGAATAATTTATAGGATTGAATGGAGTTAATTATGTGATTAAGAGCTCGTTGTGAATGTTTTATTAATAAAAAGAATTATCATATTCATTGTTTTTTTTATGTCTTACAGAGATTGCATTGCTGTTGAATTTCAGGACGTGACAAATCTCTACTTTCCATCTGAAAGTTCCATCTTTATAATTTCTCAATATTTGGTTATGTATTTCCATTAGAAGTCTTTATGTTACTTCCGTCTGCATGAAACAGAAACGTATACAATATCAATAGATAAGTGTGTAGCTATCAAAGTGATGACAATACACGAGGACTAATATAATTGTTCCCAAACTTGGGTGTAAGACAGAACAATTTCCACTAAGAGAATAAGATTAATGTCATTTCACCTTTATGACTACTACGGCTCAACACTACGCTGTAAATTAAAGAAAATAGATATTTTGAATAATATTCATTAGTTTGGAAATATGTAATATCAATGTTTTACTTTCTACACAAACTATGTACGTATTAAACGTGTGGTATTTGTAACCTATCTGATATAGTGTGTAGAAGCGCCATATCGATAGGCGAAACGCTACAGGTGATAGCTTATATTATTAGTCAAATTAAGACATGAATTGAAAATTGTTTTGATTAAAAGTTTACAAGAAATAATTATCCGTTCTTGAAATGTTTCTGAATAAGAATAATTTAGATAAAACTAGTATTAAAAGACATTCATCATATATTCGAAGTAAACAACCTGAAATAAAGAAATGAAAAGAGATTGATATATTTCTTATCGATAGGAAACGGCGATCACAGACACAGTCGTTAACATATCAAACAGTTGTTTTATGACACATGGAAATCATATAGAACCAGGTCACCTAGTAGTCAACAGAGCTATCAATGTATGATTTTAAACATATAAAACAATCTGTTGTATCAGACAAAATAGTGATAACATAAACTCAGGTACATTACTTATACCGAATATGAACAGACTTCTTTCGGTTGTATATATAAAACTGTTTCCAATTATAAAAATATAAAATGTGTGAAAATAATCCTAGACATTTCCTTTAATGTTACTATGACTTCACGATTATAAGATAAACGAGGACTTTGATAAAAAGGCCTGCAGACATTTAACGTACTGTATATGTAACAGGGGAGAAAACTCATCCTACTCTTTAACCAATAATTTTATGTTTCCATTAGTGTGACGGATTTATTACTATACCCTTATAACATACACAGTTATCATGTGCTTTTTAATCAATATAATTCAAGAAACCGGTGAATTCTTTTAATCTAAATTTCGTATAACAAAACGATATTTAAATAGTGCTCTATAGCAATCTTACCCCCGTCTTTGCCATACCCTAACAATATATGTTAACACATTCTTCAACTGGAGCCGTGCGTCTGGTGTTAAAAATAAGCGCCGCATGATGACAACAAACACTAAGACGTTACATGTTGTACACAACTATACATTGACGCTACGTCTACAAGACATTTGTCGTCAAAGACAACACGTTTATCCTATATTTACCATCAAAACATTTACAATATCTTTCCTAAATTCACTCAGCGTGGTATTTTCCAACTGCTTCTTATCGGCTCGGCTATGAATCCTCTCTCTTTTGCTCATTCGATAGAGACTACATATATAAAAGAGACCTTTATTTATTCAACTACAATTATGAGGCAAACAAGTTTGTGATGTGGGTCGAGAAAATTCATGTGATCAGGCAGGTGATCCAATTACTTTTCACGCCCGATCGGGAGGTTGGACCCTGGCTTTGTTCGTCAAAGTATTCACTGCATCAGGCTAGTAAACCAGAGGTTACGGGTTTGAGCTCTGGCAGAGACATTGGAACTGATTATTTTTGAGTAAGAATATCGTTCTACGCAATGATAACACATTGTCCTATATAAAATAACTGTATTCCCGGAAGGTACCTTATTTATATTTCATCGTACATAGATGTATGAATAGTATATAACATACTGTAATGTACGTACATGTAACAAGTTAGCGCGTTATCAACTACTCCAGCAAATCATCCCAATTAAAGATAACAAGCTAACGGGTGTGATTGGTATGAGTAAAGTGAACGACATTGACCTTGTACTGATTGATATCGGCTTAGTAATCGGAAAAGAAATATAAATGATCGGTTTATGCTTTAAATGTAGCTGTTCATAGATACAGTTATCTTTACTGATGATAGACAGTCGAAACCGTATATTGATAATAGTATTTTGAACCTAATTGGTTAAACCAGATAAAAAGGTACGGTTATTTAATATTTCGAATTAAAGTAGACCTCTTTTGATGACATTGGTGTACATTTTTGTCTATTTTTTTTTACATCACATCACACTGCCAGATATGTTTTTCCGCTGCAAACGGATCCATTTATAATGGTTCATTATATTTAGAATATCATTGGGAGAATTTGTATGCCATAATTGTCTTTCAATTGACATTTGAGAAATTAGATTAACAATATCTAGTTTGGCTATCGTGTTCCTACCTAAATTAAAAAAAATAAAAAAATGCAAGGATACAACTAGCAAAAGCGTCAGCAGTAACGTAGATGAGTATATTGATTTTACAGTTTGACACAAAAACAAGATGACTGTGGCATTGACAACAATTATTTGTAATTATTATTATTGTTTATGATAATGAACTGAAGTCTCTTTTTAGGCTTATCTGATCTGCTGGTTCTTTGTTATGTACAATATCAAAGTATTCGTGCTTTTCTTTATACATTATTATAAAATAAGTATGCTAGTACAAAGGTCGAACGACTGCCCCACTTTGACAGGACAATATCACAAACAGCAGTTTAAATATTTGATGAATAGTTTGACAAAATACTGTTGAAATGAATCAATCCAAAAATAAGAAAAAATATCAGAGATAAAACTGCCTATCAGTATAAACATAATACCGCACGTTATCGTGGTGTGCTTTCTAACACTTAAGTGAGGAAAAATCTTTTACAAAAATTCAATTTTGTTTATTTACCAAAAGAGAACATACATGACATGTTATAATGCTATCTTTTCAACATGATCAATATGTCAATTGTAAAACTTAGGCTATTTTTAGCCCATTTTAATCTGACAAAATATGACAATAACCGTTTTGATGTTATTGAATTAAAATCCCCGCATTACTATTGTACATGATTGATAACTAGTATTTTAAGACTTCTGATTATCTATCTTTCAATTTCAAGTGTTTAGTTGCGTATTTATGACATCGACATATAACTTACGTGATGCGTAATGTCGGATTTGATAAGCGTGCGTAGATATTGTATCGTATTGATAAAAAAAGTGAATTCGTGTTTCTATTTACAGGGTCCCCTGGTAATTCGGGTATTATTGATATTTATAAAGTTGACTAAGTGTAATATTTATTGACTGTTGATTTTGAAAATAGTCATCATTCAATAAAATATTCGCTGTATGTCTTTGCTGTTATCTTTCGTATAATCTATTTACATCCTTTTGGTGACGCTGATATACATTTGTTTCCATTTTACCGAACATAAACCTACCAGAGACGATTTGGGTGGAAATAGTCAAACACAAGTATATCGATTATTTGTATGAGAGAGAACACATCTTATGTATGTATTCCACAAATAATGCTCGTACAGTGGTCATTCAAAAACAATTTTTTTTTTAGGTTTCCTGAAGGGAAAATTAATAGTATGAATAGTTCTGTCTTAGATCGTGTGCGTAAATGTAAGAACATATAATAAAGGGATTATTTAACGATTATGGTCTCCATAATTTATAAAATGATTTTTGTACAAAAACGAATTAATTTGCGACACAAGAGTAACTTTTCTAAATACAATCCATAAATAGTAAAGGTTAAATTTTGGTGGAAAATAGTCTAAAAACAGAATCGAATTTTTATCATAAAATCATGCAATATGCTACTGGCTTGTGTAATTTTTAATACCTATACACTCTTGTTTTTAGGATTCGAAAGTAGAATTTATTTATTTACCAAAAAATGGGCTTAACAAGTAAAGTTTTCATGACATGCCATAATATCTTATCAGGATGATAAATTACATCAATAGATAATCACCAAAAACTTTTACCTGAACTATCATCATTAACCAAAAACTAAACCAAACCACCTGGTGTTATTTTACTATGTAAATATGTGAAAACAACCGTATTGATGTTCTTGATTTAAAATTCACGCATTAATATTATTTCGGGGAATTGATAGCTGATATTATCAGAATTCTTGGAACTTATCTTTATATTTCAAATATATTGTGTCAAATGAATTTCGTCGACATATAATTTACGAGCAACGTAACGGGGGACCTGATAAGTAAAGATTGATTTATCGATTTATTGAACATCAATAAGAAGGTGAAGGTAGTGCATTCCATTATATCGTAGGAGCCACCATAAATATGTGTATCGATTTACTTGAAAAACATGCCCCATGGAGATTCAAAAAGATATTGACAGAGTCATCTAAGCAGATCAGAAAGTTCAGTAAGAATATCGTTGTCATCCATACAGATCTATGCCAGCTTATCTTAAAGCAGGATAAACCCTAATATCATAATGGTCTCCGTTATTGATACAGTTATTTTTGTACATTTGTTTTTAATTCTTGACTGCAGGATAACTTTTCTAAATACAATTAATAGACTGTAAAGATAAACTTATGGTTGAAAATAGTCTGAGAAAG